AATTTAAAAAAATAAATAAATATATTCTGCTCATTAAAAAAAAACAAACAAACCAAAAACAAAAAAAACAACCAGGGAATGAGCTCAGGCCCTCTACTGAGCTATCTCCCTGGCCCCTCTTTACTCTGTTCTTGGTTTCCCTTGCTGTGCAAAAGCTTTTAGGCCCAGCATGGTGGCACACATCTGTAAGCCAAGCACTTGGGAGGCTGAGGCGAGAGGATTGTTGTGAGTTTGAGACCAGTGTTCAGGGCCAGCCTGAACTGCATAGCAAGGCCCTGTCTCAAAAAAAGGGGCGGGGGGCGCTTTTTTTTTTTTTTTTTTTTTTTTTTTTAGTAAAATGAGTTCCTAGCAGTTATTTGATTCTTGGTGACTGATGATTTTTCGTATTAGACCTTCATCTATTGCTACATGCTACTATAAGTCTATCTGCAGAAAGCTTAAAAACAAGCTATGAAAGATAAAAAAGGAGTGAGACTGACTGGGGCTGTGGGATCTTGAATAGACCCAGAGCCCAGGCCCAGCAAGTGAGTGAGAGGACGAGGGCCCGCGGATCCTGAATAGACCCAAAGCGCAGGCCCGGAGAGTGAGAGAGACTACTCGGGGCCACTGGATCCTGAATAGACCCAGAGTGCAGGCCTGGCAAGTGAGTGAGACAACTGAGGGCCCATGGATCCTGAATGGACCCAGAGCCCAGGCCCGGCATGTGAGTGAGACCACCCAGGGCCCGCAGATCCTCATTTGACCCAGAGTGCAGGTCCCGAAAGGAACCCTTCAGCAGAACTCCCTACAAAGAGGCTAGAGGCAAGACCCACCCAGCTGATTCAGGGGCAGAATATCTTGCCAGAGAGACACAAAGGGTTCAACTATAATGGCTGCAGCAGAAAGAAGTGGAGCAGAGCAACCAGATCCAAACAACACCCACCTGAAGGAATCTGAACTTCGTAGATCTGGACCTGGTGCTAAGGTAATAACTCTATCTAAGCTCTACACCAAAGGTCAGAAGACAGCGGTATAC